AAATACAAACTGCGGTCGAAACAACTTTATCCCATAAGGATTTTGGAAAATTCTTTTTCTTCAACATGCATCTCGCCATATCCAATATGGTTCTGCTTATTCTTTCTGCAATTCCATTATGCTGAGGCATATAAGGAGTAGTTACCTAATGACCAACACCATGTTCTGCACATAAATCTTCAAACATCTTGAATGTGTATTCGCCACCTCTATCTGTTCGCAGAATTTTGATCCTCTTATCACTCTGGTTTTCGACAAGTATCTTGAATCTCTTAAAGATTTCGAATACTTCTTCCTTTCTCTTGATCACATAAATCCACATCTTTCTATTGAACTCATCGAAAAACGAAACAAAATATCGGTTTCCACCAATGGTATGTTCTTCTAATGGACGACATACATCTGAATGTACCACTTCGAGTATACATGATGATCTCATTGGCATAGTCGAAATAAAATATTTTCTTCATTGTTTTCTGACTAAACAACCTTCATAGAGTTTGTCGGACATCTCAAGACTTGAGATACTAGATACCATATCTTGAGTAATCAGCTGATTGAGTGATCGAAAGTTCAAATATCCAAACCTCAAATTCCACAACCAACTATCCTTGTGGTCGACAACAATTTTTAAACATCGTACTTCAGTCAAACTAATCATAGCCTTAAACATATTATTCTTCGACAAAGGAGATTTTAAGACCAAATTGTTCTTAGTGTCGAATAATTTTAAAACTCCATCTTTCATGACAACTAAGAAACCCTTTTGACTAGTTGTCCAACACTTAACAAGTTGCACTTTATACCAGGTGCATAGAGCACATATTTGATCATAACTTTCTCTCAATTACTCATTTAAAAGACTATGTTGTTAGTACCTTCTGCTTTCAACAAACTACTATCAACAAGTTTTATCTTGCTCTTCTTCGACTCGTCAAAATCTGCCAACCACTCCATCCAACTAGTCATGTGATTCAAGAAGCCTGAGTCGAGGAACCAGATCTTGGATTTAACATGGTTATCTGCCACTGCAGTCATAACCACCATACCACTTCAGAATCATCTAAATCTTGGCGTTCAAGGTTTGTTCCTTCGTCCTTGCCTGTCGATCCCTTGTCTTTTCTATACCAACAATTCTTGACAACATGACCCCACTTTTCATAGTTATAGTGTTGTACACCTTTCTTATCTTCTCTGTCCTTTCAATAGTTTCCTCTTCCTCTTTTCAAGGATTCAGAAGCTTTGTCTTTGACCCGATGCTTGTGAGGGTTCGACCAAGACTTCTTTCCCCGAGTCTTGTCGATATTGCCTTTAAACTTTTTGGAATCACCATTCCTTTTCCATTACTGAGCTTGCAGTTCCTCTATCGAGTACTGGACTCCTTTCCTTTCGACAATCTTCATCTCATACGCCTCCAACGAACCAACCAAGTCTTCCACTTTTAGGGTTTCAAGATTGTTTGATTCTTGAATAGCTACGATAACATGAGTAAAGTGAGAGGTCAACGTTTTCATTACATTCTCAACTATCATCTTATCAGTTATAATTTCACCACAAACCTTCATGAGATGGACGAGTTTCTGAATCTTCGACACATATTATGTAACTTTTTCATCTTCTCCCATCGACAATAACTCATATTGTCGATGCAAGGTTTGTAACTTTACAACCTTGACTTTCTCACCTCCTTCGTAATACTTCACCAGAATATCTCATGTCTCCTTCGTCATTTCAAAATGAGAAATCCTGTCGAAGTTAGCAGCGTTGACTGTCGTCTGAATGTAATAAGCAGTCTTGCAATCTTTCTTCTTGACTTCGTTGCAGGTATTTTTCTGTGCTTCGGTTGCATGTGCAGCCAACGCAGGAATGCCGTCGATAATCACTTCTAGGGTTTCATGGAAGCCAAACAAGGATTGCATCTGTTTTTTTTCACCGGATCCAGTTTTTACCGTCAAACATTAGAAGAGAATTCAGAATGCTCTTATCACTAGTCATCTTTGCATCAGTTGATTCACTTGCTTTAGAAACACGATCTCTGACGTGAAGTTCTTGACAACTCGATCAAGAACAATAACCAGACTTTGATACCAATTTGTTAGTGCGTGAGACACTTTTAGTGAGGAGACAAAGATAGAATAATAAAAGAAATAAGGATTATATTATTCACTTGAATTATATTGTACAAAATAAGGATACACTATAACTATTTATATACAACTCTAATTGAGTCTGTGCTTACGCAACTTGAATTGTATTTAAATATTAAATCTAATCAAATTTAATCTAAGATTTCAACACCATTAACCAATTTTATTTGTTATGTTTTATAATTTATTATCAGAACTTGGTTAATAGAAGAATGTAAAGATTGGTTATTATAATTCATATTTCAATGTCAGAATTTGATTAATTTTAGGCGTTTTATTGGTCAATGAAGTAGTAAATTTGGTTAATGAATTATATATAAGTAAAAAATGTAGTTAATTGTGGTTAATACAATAATAAAAGTGGTTAATGATAAACTTTATATTTGTGTTGCAAAAATAATTTTAAAAATAAAAATATTTTTTATAAATATTATTATTTATTAAAAAACAGTATTTATCGTATAAATATGATGAACATTATTTGATGTAAGTATTGGTGTATAATGTGGGTGTAAGAATAGTAAATCTCTCCTCATGCAAGGCATTTGTGCTCTATCAATTAAGTTCAATCTTAAAGGTTTTATTATGAGATATAGAAGCTTTTAAGATTAACCTTTTTCTTGAGTTGAGAACTTTCATCAACTTGTCTTCGATCGACATCTTATGATTTTTAACAAAATAATTATTCAAAAATATACATTAACAGTAAGAATTAAAACTACATAATAATAATTTTATAGACAATAAAATATGTCATTTCTTTTAGAGACAAAAACAAAAAATTTAGTAATTTATAGAAATCAGTATAAATTTGTTCCTCTTCTTCCATTATCTTGCTCTTTAGTTATTGTGTGATTACTATACACTAAGAAAGAATTGTAAGTATCGCTTGTTTTAGTAATTAGTGGTCATTACTATTTACCCTCGACATACACGAATGTTTTTATTGACTTGAACAAAGTGATTTTTGGATTCATCAACCAACAAATACCTTTATAAAAAGTTAATCATTGTTCAATTTGTTTTAAAGAGAGAGTCACATTTCTAGCATATTTGGAGTTGCGGAAAATCACAAGTCAAAATATCTTTCACGTACCAGCCATAACATGTATGTGTTTGGATTTGCTTTTGAAGAGCAAATATAACATGGAAATGGTGAAGCTACAAAGTTGAGCTTCTGTCAAAACTAGTGACAAAATTTATAGCAAGTGTTTTTTGTTACAATCATACATAATAATAGTCCAATGTATAGTAAATAGGATTCAAAAACAAAATTTTGAAACTCTGCAAGAGGCCTAAAATTTTATCTTTTCTATGATCTAGCTGCATTATATTACTTTTCTCCAACCTTCTCTTTCAACATTGCTATGAATTTGTCCCTCTCCTCTATTGTCATTCCTTCTGCTGAACAATCACCAACTCCCCATTCTGCCCCACGTAAGCAGTACTTGTTCTCTATTTCTTTACTATTCCTGTAAAATAAAACACAAAAAATGATATTGCTAATAACAACAAAAACACACACACACAGGTTCAATCATAAATTCATAATAGCTAAAGAGTTACTTCTCTTTATTCAACTTAGATTGTTCAAGCAACTTCTTCACCAAGGGAGACTCTTTGATTCTCGCATCATTTTCAGCATATCTCTTCTGGTTTTCTTCTGTGAAAAATAGAATGAATAGTTTCATCATCATCATCATCATCATCATCACACTAAGCTTTATAAAATCATATCATGTTATAAGAGTTTGAAAGATGTAACCATTTATTCTGTTGAGGAAATCAATCTGAGGCAGCTGAGGACCAGGAACAGCTTCTAGTCCTGAGATTCCTGACATGAATCCAGCATGTGCTGCAAGAAAGAAAAAACAGCAAATAATAAAGCGACTTGAAATGAAATGCATGGTACATTGAAAGAGGGATATAGGGTGTACCAGGAGTTGACCAGAGAAGAATTGCAAGTGAAGCAGCTAAAGGAAGTGACATTTGAAGAATATTGTGTGAAGGAAAAGAAGAAGAAGAAGATAAAGAGCAAGAAAGTTCTGAGTTTCTTTGTGTTATAGCAAAGTGAAAGTTGTTTTGAGGGGTGGTGAGTTTTTGAGATAAGGTTGAGATTTGAATGAAGGATGGTAGTGAAAAGGAAGCCATGATTGGCATGGCTTGGGTCGGCTTCCCCTGTGGAGTCTCCTGCGTATAGGAGATGAAGAGTTGGAAGGAAACGGCAGGAAGATAAGGGGGAGCAGAAATATAAGGCTGATATTGCTTCTTTTATATTTATATTTTTGAAGTATGGCTTCACTTTTACTCTTTAACTTGTGCTATTTGATGATATTGCCAACATATATTTATGGCTTTAGTGACTTTTATATCTTCATTTAAAATGTGGATTTCTCTTTTAGTGTTCTATAATTTTGTTGAATATGGGTACTCAAAGTAAAACACATGGTTACCATCACTATTTATTCAACAATGATATTCATTCTTTTTTTTTAATTTATTTATTTTACACACATCTAATTAATCATATTTAAAATATGGTTGATTCAATTGAATAGAAAATTAATTCAATTTTACAATTTTGATTAACTCATTTTCATGATTAACCATAATTTTACAATTTTAAACAAGATCTTAATTAAATGAACAAACAACAATTTTGCATGTAATAATAATCTAGATGTTACACATGCAACGATTATTGGGGGTATTAATGAAACATTTTTGTCATATATTTTCCCCTAACCATATCTTAAATACTAAAGAAAATAGAAAAGCAACTTTTTAATAATGAAAAATCAACACTTAATCCCAATTCTTATTCCAAATGCTAGAGACAGACTCTCAATTATTTTAAACTTTTTTCTTCCACACTTCCTTTAGTGCTTGAATTGCAACCTTAGATCCACCACCAACACTTATATCATTCCTTGCAGCCTCTTTAATTTGTGTTGCTTTGATACCAATAGATTCATCATTCATCATCTGTTTTATAGCCTCACCAATCTCTTCACCTTTCACCACACATTCACCTTCCCACCCCCATTCTTTCTTCCACACACCCCACCCCCCTTTTGAAACCAATTCAGCATTTATCTTCTGGTCTCCAATCTGAGGCCACCCTATGATTGGTACACCAAACCATGCTGCCTCTATCACTGAGTTCCAACCACAATGACTCACAAACCCTCCCACACTTTTGTGACTCAAAATCTCACTTTGATCCACCCATTTCTTAACCACCAACCCATTTTCCCTTATCCTTTTCATAAGCTCAATTCCTAATACTTCTTCTAACCCTTCCTCTTCTCCTTCTTCTTCCCTATCAACTTTCTTATCCTTCACCACCCACAAAAACTTGTATCCACTTCTCACCAACCCTTCTCCTATCTCTCTTATTTGATCTCTTCCTATAGCAGTCCTACTTCCAAAGCTAACATACACCACCGAACCGTCCGGTTGATCGTCGAGCCAGTTCAATGGAGTAGTAACTGTAACTCCAGTTTGCTCAATTTTTTCAAAGTCACAAGGTACAAAAGGACCAACTCCATAGATAGGTGGCAATTCCTTCACCACTTTTCCATTGTTAAGAGCCTTTAGGACATTTCCTTCAAGTCCTTCAAAAGTGTTTATCAAAACTCCATGAAGTTTCTTGAGCTTAGGACCGTCCTCCATGAAAATTTTAGAAAATAGACTAGTTGGGTTCAAGAGGAGTGGAGGGATTGACGATCTTGGTATAGTACCAACTTCTGGAATCTGGACGCCATCAGAAGAAGACGTCGAAGCAGCCACAGATGGAAAGTAAGAGAAGAAGGAGAACATGGTAGCAGAAGAAGTGAACAAGATATAGTGAGGGACAGAAAGGCTTTCAACAATGGGAAGAACAGGTGAAATCAATGTCATGTCAAAGATGAATGCGGATAAAGGCGGAGAAAGTGAAGCAAGAAGAGGAGAGAGAAGGTGGGAAGATCTACGAATGGATGCAAATTGGAGGTAAAAAGGGTCAGTAGAAATTGCATCATTATCTTGAGAAGGAAGAAGTTGCAACTCAAGTTTATTCACCTGAGGGAATGAAGAGTGGAAGTGAGAGAGAAGAACTTGTTCAGATTTTGAGACTGTTGGTTGAGGGGTTATGAGAGTCACATGGCATTGGTTTTGGAGAAGCACTGCTGCTAGTCTGAGAAATGGAGTGAGATGGCCCATGCCAGAGCTTGGCAAGAGAGCCACATGAGTTGTAGGAACAAGAGACATGTTTTTCTAATAATGTTGTGTACTCAAGATGATGGATATATACAGAAATTTTAAGGGGTAAGTAAGATTTGTTGGTAGCATCTCTTTGGAAAAATTAGAGAAGACTTGTTGGTAGATCTCAATCTGAAAAACAAAATACAAGTCTCATACTCTGAATGTTAGTTTGTCACTCATCTCCCATATAACATTTAATTGAAGTCCTCCAATATAAAATTTAATTAGATAAAAATCAGATGAGATTAATTGATATGCTAAATTTTTGTACACTCAATGCATCATAACAATTCATAAATATTACTTGTTAAATAAATAAGATAAAAGACAATCGTTAGTAAAAATTTAACAATTTTTTCTATATATACCAATTAAATTCAAATCAAATTAATTTTTTACATTTCTGTTACGATAGGGAAAAGATATTCCGATTTTAGTTCTTATTTTGAATTCTTTAACCAACTCTTTCAGTATACAAAAACAAATCGAAAGATATTTTGTCAATTTTCTAGTTTTTGGTGAAACACATACGGGAAGTCTTGGAAAAAATGTTTCAATAATTTTAAAAATTTTGTTCATTGGAAATGTTTTGAAATGTGTTCTGGTGTATAATTTTTCGTTTAATATTTTAACAATGCAAATTGGAATTTTAACACATATTCTTGTAATTTTTTATAAAGTATTTTAAAACATACAGTTAGATCTATGATTTTAGGATTGACAATATTTTTGCTAAATTATGGTTCTTATCTGATGTTGACTAAGATATCACAACATCTTGATCATCTCTCATTACAAGTTCTATTGTCATGTGTTTTAGACAGAGGTTAAGCTAGATGTCTTGACATCGTGGCCTACTGTACAACAGATGCTGCTGTTATTTTTTCTTGAAGATTTGATTGAAAAATATGAGATTCTTGATGATTTTAGTTCTCATACAGACGCAGCTAATCAAGGATATTTTAGGAACTATGCATATTTGATTTGGTTTCATAAAAATGATCTTTGAGACTTTTTAGGAAACTTTGAAGATTTGTTCCTATTTTTGTGTGAAGATTTTACAGCTAATTTAAAAAGTGAAGATTGGATTTGATTGAAGAGTCCAAACTCATTTTACAAGAGTCTATAAATAAGGACTTGTTAAACCTAAAATAACAAGTATTCACAACAAGAAAAGTGTGGATGCAACATAAGGGTTTAAGATTTTAGGAGTATTTTAAGTTCTTTGTGTTTTTGTTTTTTGTATGTCACTTACATATTTTATGATACATTGATGTTGAATGATTGTTCTTAGTTGAAGCTTTTAATCAAAACTAAGTATTGTTCTCATTCATGAGCTTTTAAGCAAAGAGTTAAGTATTGTTTATTTGAAGTGTAATCTTCTATTTTGGTACTTTGGTTCTAGTCAGTAGTTTATGGTTGTGTTTATCACTGAGGTGATTGTGGGAAGTGAGAGGAGGTTCTTAAGTATAAATTGCATAGGATAGTGATTAGGTGATAAGTTGTAAACTGAGATTATTTAGGCTTGGAGCTAATACTATTATAGTGGATTTCCTTACTGGCTTGATAGCCCCCCGGAGTAGGTGAGTTGCACCGAACTGGGTTAACAATTAATTGTGTCTTTTACCTTCTGTATAATTTATATTTTAGTAAAAGTGTTTTCTGTCAGTAGATGATGTCATAACATATGTCTTAACATTGTGTTTTGGTGTTGAGACATCAGTCTTGACATTTGTTTTAAAGTTCTAGAATTTCAATTGGCATCATAGCAGATATCCCGTTCTGTTTATTGGATGAGCTCCAGGGAGAATAATTTCTGGTATTATGGTCAAGGAAGGAGGATACAACTGTTAGACTACGACGACTTATCTAGAGGGGGTGAATATATCCCTAATTAAAAACCACCTTTAAAAAATGGTTATTTAAAAACACATTTGAAAAACAATAGTGAGCGGAAGATTTTCGGCCTAGATCAAAATAGTAGTCTAAACGAACCTAGTTATTGGAAACTCGAATATGCACAAGCCATATGGAATTAAGATAATGATAAAATCAATCAACATAATAATATCTCAAGTAATAGTTTAATATCAAACATAACGGTTTTCTATTTCCAATGAAATAATATTAAAAATATAACTTGACAATTTATCGAATATGTGGCGTGCAATCAATTTTTCAGAATTTTCTTTGAGCTTTGTTGATATGAAAAAGAACTTACAATCATAGCGATCATAAGCTAATCAATAAAGAAATTTGAACTTTAACAATCAAAGAGAAATTATATACGAATCAAACGATCAAACAACACATTCAACAAATTGTATATAGAGAGTAAATGAGAGTAAGAGATAGAACATTGCAATTTGTCAAACACTTGGCGTGCGTTTGATTTTTCAGAATTTTTCTTTGAGTTGTATTGATATGAAAACCACTTATAATCAAAGTGATTATAAGCTAATCAACACCCCCACTTTAAACAAAATAATTGCAGAAAAATTCTTACGAGTCAATCGATTAAACAATATTATTCAACAAATTCTGTAATAAAAACAAAAGCGAGTAAAGAGATGATAGAGAGTGGCAGAAGGATTTGTTTACGCGGTTCCCTACTTACTTCCTCGTGTGTGGGTACGTCTGCGCCCAATTTCAATGTGGAGTTAAGATAATTTCTTACTTTGCAAAAAAGTATGATTACAAGAGAAGTGTTCTAAGAGCAACCCTATAAACACGACCATTTGATGTTGATTCAACCCCTTCTCTTTCTTTGATATTCAACAAGACCAAGACATAATAGCTACCAATTGATTATCTGGATCTTTCTACTCCTTTACGTACTTTATCTCCAAAGCTTTCGTGCACCTTCAATTGCATATATTGCAACACAAGACTTCAATTTGATTCGCCGTTCTTATGTTACTTCCTTTGCGTTCTTTATCTCCAAAGGCTTTCACTAGGCTGTCATCCTCTCTTGAATGTTTTGAAGGCTAGGTGCAGGCGTGGGGAAGACTTTTCTGCATGCATGTAATACGATTGGACATGTAGGGAGGCGAATTAGTGGTTGCTTGCTGTTGTATTGTTCAAATTCAGTGCAACTTATTTAATCCTGCATGTATCAAAATGCTTCTACACTCAATCACTCAAACACTCGAACATTCAAAAATTCAAACAATCAGACACTCAAACACTCAAATACTCAAACACTTAAACATTCAAACACTCAAACCTTCAAACACTCCAAACATTCAAACATAATGGCCTATACACCACAATATGTTATCAGTGCATATTTCAACGGTGAGACATACATTTGTCCCACCTCTGGGTTTTTGTTTAGAGACATTAAGAACATCCGATTTTGTTTAAATAGGAAAGCCAATTTCTTGTATTTCAAAAAATGATTGGAGGTCAAAGTTGGACGAGGTCCCGTGACACAAATCTTCTATCAAAATCCGATTTTTTTTTGTGAGAACCAAATAATATATTATAAGGTTGAGGTTCAAGATGATGAGGGCCTTCAAAATATGTTTTCCAGTCATGAGTATTCTGGGTACGACTCTATTGAGTTATACATTATGTTGCAGGAGCCTCAACTATCACGACCAACTCAGTCACAAGTGATTGATCCTCTCGAAGCCGAACAAGCAGAAGTAGATGTCATTGACAAAGAAGAGGAAGATGACGAGTTATAGTTTGACAATATGGTCAATGATGATTCTAAAGACGACGGGATACCTGGTGTGATCGGTGGATTTAGAACTGACTATTTTTTAGCTGGTTTCGCGAAATGTCGCGGTAAGCAAGAGTCGCCACCGTCTTTTATTTTCTCCAACCTGGAAAGGACAAAAGCACAGCGAAATTCCTTATGAGATTGTTTCTCGGTTTGGGAGGTAGATTTATAGAAAGGGAAGGTGTTAGCACCCTTTCTATCCATGGTTATCCATGGGCTCTTAGGTACTTGCTCTTATGTTTTCAAAATGTTTGCTTTTCAGTTGTGAGTGGGTTTGAGAAAGTTTCGCTTAAAGATTTCAGATCGACTCTTGTATCAGTCCTCAAGAGTGTTTGAAAAATTGTTTTGAAAGCTTTTTTGAAAGTGTCGGTGTGAAAAGATTTTTTGATTTTGTTTTGAATTAGAGCAAGTATCTGCGAGTCATCCACCTACCCTAAGGAATTAGGTTGTGCAAATGTCCTTAAGGTAACGCCATCCCACCATTGAGAGATAGGTAGCACCACCGTTGGAGGTGTTCGGGTCAATTCGAGTTTAGGGACAGTGTGGTCACCAGAGCAACAGTAAGACACCTTAGAAGCTACCCTTATGCCATTGATCTTTTTTTTATTCCGAGGCAACCGTTTCGAGGCAACTTGTTCCGAGGCAACCGTTTCGAGGCAACTTTTTCGAGGCAACTAGATCAACGGACATAAGGACTTACTAAAATATCCTGTACTCGACGACCACAATTCGAGCTTGTAGGGACAGTGTGGTCACCAGAGCAACAATAGGATACCTTAGAAGCTACCCTTATGCCATGTTCATGGACATAAGGACTTACTAAAACGTCCTATACTCGACGACCACGTTTCGAGGGGCAAGGCAACAGTGAGGCGTACCCTAAGAGTGGTGTGTGAATTTGTGTATTGTTTTCAGTTATGTTTTATCTTGTCAAGCATTATGGTGATCTACGCGTTGATTTTATTTGGGCATGCATTCTTTCATACAAGTTAACAGTTAAAAGGGGTGCGGAAAGTAAATTGCGGAAAACGTAAATCCTACGCTATTACAAGGCGCGAGTCTATACATCGCCAAATCCTTACAAAGACCCATTTTAAGTAAATAAGTACGGAAAAATAAAAAAACAGTAAAAGGTCCTATTTACTATTACATATCCGGAGCAATTACATGATAATCAAACAAATTAAATATGCGCGAATAAAGAAAAAGGAATTAATTTTTGTCTTTTTTGGTAATTAAATGAAATTGAAAACTATTTAATTATTTTAATTACAAG